AAAGTGTCCTTTAATTTTAATGTTTTTAATACTTTTGTGTTTGTTTTGATATCTTTACTTATTTTGAAATTCATACAAAATTAACTTATTTTAAATACAAGACAGTTGAAATCAAATCAAAACAAAAGACAAAGAAAATAATCTCAATAGAAAAATAAAAGAGAAAAAATAATGAATGTAAGTACAAAAAAAATAGTTTCAATATAAGGTAAAAAATGTGTATTAACTTAATTTAATACAAGATAAAAAATAAGATTTATTTTTAAAAAAAAATTAAGTTTTTATAAAAAAAAATTCTAAAAATAATTTTAATTATTTTAAAAAAAAAACAAAATTTACATACATGGCGGGCGAATATGTACGAACACAACCAACTTGGGTTGTTGAAGACGCCACATCAACACAAAAGGTGCACAAAATTACGAATAAATGAGTTAATGGGGGTAATAGGATCTAAGTTAAGTTTAGGTGTGTTTCTGAGATTTCGATCATAGTTTAGAAGGTACTTATGCCTTATATTTTTAATTTTTTGAGTGTACTATATGTGTAGCTCACATATGGATACACTATATCATATAGTCAATACGCATTATATAGTATATATGACTTTTAACAAACTATATACGAGGAAACCTCACTAAGTTAATCCTCGATTAATTAATAATCGCTCTAAGATAATATTTTTCTCTGGTTACGACTTGGCCGCTAATGAAAAAAAATTATTCATTTCGATAAGATAATTAGATAATATATTTTCAGACCCCTATATAAATATATGGTTGATATTCAAGATAGTATATGAAAATGGTTTAGTAAAAAATAATATTATTTCTTAGATGCTTTTCATTGACCTCTGAAAATATAATTTTAAGTCATTATTCTATTAAATTAATACAATATAATAAAAAATAAATTTATTTTTATGAATTTTATTTTTGTATCAAACTTAACTAGAAGAATTTTTTTAAAAAAAAATAATTATGTGGGGTTAATTCATGCGGCGTGGGTCTATGCGGGATGGGTTGGAGCGAATTGACAATTAATAAAAAGTTGTTATGCGGGATGGGGAGGAGTGAATTAAAAAATTTGCGAGTTAAGCTCAACCCAGCCCGCCAATTACCATCCCTACTCCTCCTCCTTTTTCTTCTGCATCGTCCTTTTTCTTTCTATGTCGTTTCATTCTTCTTCTTCTTCTTCTTCTTTTTGTTTTAAAATTGGTGTACCGCAAACATGAATAGTTTCGAGTGAATTATATATCAAAAGACTCAAAACATCGAGATAAATTCATATTTAAATTTTGATATTATTTAGAAGTGTTTCAAGCTGATCGAGATTTAATAGTCAATGTATACTTCATATATAATTAAACTATATTTAGTTTTTTTGAGTATATCGTCACGTAGAGATACACTATATTAAATAATCAGTACTCATTATATACTATAAGTGACTTTTAACAAACTAATCCATATTAATGTATATATAGTCAGTGTACTGTCAATGATTTATTAATTTTATGTCTATATTTATTGCAAACTAAAATTTATTATATATAATTGTAATTATTCCTTAAATATATCAAAAAGACCAAAATAAAACATTACTAGTAAATTAAGTACCATTTTAGTCATTTTTTCAATAAGTTTCACACAAGAACAAAAGAATTAACTCTATCCTACTCACACTCTCCATTACTTAGTACCAAAAATATTTGAAGAACCAAAAGCCTCCATTGGAGTGTTAAACTCACGATTGCTTCCTTCTTTGTTAAGTTGCTTTGCTCATCAACCTCTGTTTTCGATTGCTGATTCCAACCTGTTGTCGAATTTAATAGATTCAAGTAAGTTTTTTCATTCACTAGCATTACTTGTTTATGTGTTTAAAGCTACTCTGATTTTGAAAAAAAATGATAAAACAAAACACATTTGAGATGTGGATTTAGTTTTGGTATTTTTTTCCGGTGAATTGATCGGTAGGAGGACGTTTTTTAGTCTTCATTTTGTTTAGAGTTAACAAGCGGGGATGTAAAACAAGATTTTTTTTCTGTTTGTTTTTGTATCCTCAGTTCTATTTTGATGAAACTAGGGTTAGGGTTTTTTTTGTGTGTGCTTTTGTAGAGAAATGCATTATTTTGCTACAAGGGAGTTTGACCATGAAAATGGAGAGAATATTTTTTTTAAAAAAAAGCTTTTTTCACTCCAAATCACTCGCAAAAACTCAAATTCAATTAGAGTTGTGTTTGGTTGTGAATAATTGGAGTTGTTTTTGAGTGATAAAAAGTCAAAACAACTTGAATTTTGAAATGAAGTTATAGAATGAATTATATATGAAGTTTCTTTTCTTGTAAAAAAATTGAATTTGAAATAAATGTATGAAATTTGTAGAGAATCATATAACTAACTAGTGGAATAAGTGATGCATATTAATTTTTTTGGAAGTTATTATTTCCCTTTCCTTTTACGTTTGGGTTTCTTGCCGAAATTTGATACATATGACATGTTTCTTGTGACTAGTTGTCAGAATGGATAAGAATAATGTAGAGATGATGGTTGATAGATCAGAGGAGCCTCAGATGAAGACAAACGCTGCAACTCTTACCACTGATGGTGATGCTAGGTCGGACCAGTTTCCCAAAGTGACAATTGAAGTTAAGGATTCTTCTGCATTTATAGGTGATGATGATGAAGGCTCTTTTGAGGATCAAGCTGTATTTATAGAAAAACTAGGCACCTTTTACCAGGAGAAGGCGGTAGAACTCAAACTACCTAGGTTTTATGGTCATCGGCTTAATTGCCTAAAGTAAGTGTATCATATTTTTATCGTTGAGCCTTTTTATTTTGATTTTGTTCTTGCTACATATTATATCTTGTCATGTTCTTCATGCTAGGTTATGGAGATCTGTGATCAAACTAGGTGGCTATGATCAGGTAAGCCTTTTATTCTGCACTTGTATTTTACTTTTTTAATTGAATCAAGAACTGCAAAGGATATTAGTCACTTTCCCAAATTGTCCTCAGCTAATCAGAAGCAGTGGATCAACAATCGAGTGCAATAAGTCAAGGAATTATTTATGGATTAACCATGATCTTGTTCACACAACCGTGTGCTAAGCATCTTTGGAGGGCTATGTTTCTCTTGCAAAATATCACAGTGTGAACCTCGAGTTGTTAGAGAGGGTAGCTCCGTAATTAAGAAAATTCAAGCAGTGGTTGTGTATTTTCTTCTGTTACAATATGCTATGAGTCTGTGAGATTAATTTTATGTTATTCCCACGTACTTTTGATGGTTTACTATCAAGCTACTTTGTCTCTGTAGGTAACTGGAAAAAAATTATGGCGTCAAGTGGGAGAGTCCTTTAATCCCCCCAAGTGAGCATTTAGTTGGGCCTGATTATTTCTTTTTTTCTGGCAACTTGATATAAATATTTCTCCTTTTCTCGTCAAACATCAACTTCCCTAATATATACCATGTAAGGGAGATGTTGACATTGTTTTGCTGATGATGTGCCAAGATTTTGAATTACGATATATTTCGGGTACATGTGAAAGGAATAAGTTGCTTGGTTGCTAGAACAATATATCAGAAGGTGGTAGAAGAACAATTGTTCATGAACTACTCCCGTTGTTTCAAATGTTTGTGTTGTTTTGACATCACATTGAGTTTAAGAAAGTAAATGATTTTTTTTGAATCTTGTAGCCTTGGATCAAATTAGCACATGGACTAGTTATTTTACTTAAAATTATAACAATTTTTTCGAAATAGAGAATTATACGAATTAGGGAGGAACTCCATGAAAGGAAAATTAATGATTCATATAAATCGCTTAGTGGAAAATGTCTCAAAGAAATCCAACGAGTAACATAATCTTTATAGCCTTTTTATGATCAATCGTATAGTTTTACGATTTCATCGACTAAAAAGGTTATCAAATGAATGGTAATTATGTACTGATATGGCACCTGGACGCAACTCAACTTCAGCTCAGCAGCTGATGTTTGTCTATTTCCATATAAAAAGCCCAATTTCCCATCCATCTTCCGATGTAGGATTTCTTAACATTCCTCTGTACGCCTAACTCTAATACTATATAAAGATATGACAGTCGAGTCTACCACAACCTCAATAGCTAGCTCATGAGGAGAGGTTTGTCCAAGTCCACATAAGGAGTCTAATTTCTCATTCCTCTTCCGATGCGGGACTTTCTAACAATTTCACTTGAAATGATCGCAAAGGAAATGTTAGTTAGTATATGCTCAAAGTTGAAAATATCGTTAAAAAAAACTTTAAATAGAAGAGTCCCTTAATTACATAATTTTAAATAGAAATCGGGAATTGAATTCATTATAAGATCTATTTATCCTTCTTAGAAGATACTATGCTGCCACTCGGACTCGAGCCGAAATGCATTAGCACTACTGCCTTGCGGCGGCAAAAGGATTAGACGTCCCCCCCATGCTACGGTTTTAAGAGCAGTGTGTACAAATTTCACCATAGCGGCCTGTCTTGAACTCATAATAGCATATGAATAAGCAATTGTCGAGATTGAGTAGTTATTTTCGTTTAGTAATGACAATAAAAAGTTCAAATAAGAATTTTAGGTTGATGGTCATTTTAGATTTGAGTTTAGATAAACCAATATGAGTGGATGTACCAAAATGTCCTTAATCTTGTTGTCTTGAACATGTCATGTGAGTTGTGACACGTTGAAATTAATTGCCGAAAAAGGGAAGAGACATTCTTTCTTTTGAACTAGGTAACTTTGGAAAGAGGAATTCTTTTTATAGCGCAGAGAGTATTAAAACTACTAAAATTGAAAATCTGAAGAAAATATGAAGTGCTTTTGCAAAAATAACAATACATATTCCAACATCAAGCTATAAACTAAGTTGCTCGGACTCTTCATTTTTGGTGCCACACCCGTGTCGACTTGACATGGGTGTGGGATCCGTGTCCAATTTGGTCAACTGATTTTAGGTGCTTTGACCAAAATCGATGGGGTAAGTGTGGACAGTTTTAATGATTGTCTGTAATCAATACGAAAGCGAAGGTGAAATTGAAGAAAATGAAGTACCTTTTATCTTGAAATTTCTATATCACTCATTTTTAGTTAATCTTCTTCCAGATTCTCTTCAAGTTCTCCCGTAATATCTCATAATTTAGGTTTTTTAACTCTTCTTTTATATATTTTAATTATTCTTAGGCGAATCCGCGAACCCCTATCCCTACATAGATTCATATCCCGAATCTTATCATGAAGGATCCAACATCTAGATCCACACCTGAATCAGATATCCGCATTGAGTCCGAGCAACTTAGGCTATAAGTGCTAAGAAACATACACCACATTAACAAAAAACAACAACATACCCAAGGAATGTTGCTTCTTTCTTTATGGAGTTAAGCACGCATGGACTCTATGAGATACTGACGGGATGCTTCCTTATGCTAGATTTGCTCAATGTGAAATGAGTGTCGACCTCTGATGTCTCCCATTAGATGAGTAACTTAGAATAGAGAACGGGGTTGTAATGAGAAAGATATTTTTTGATGCTCAAATAAGATAAGAATTTACTGAATATGTAAGACAATTAATACCAATACTTTCTATCTACTATTATACGACTTCCTTTAAATGCTTTTTTGGGGGCTTTGATAATCTATTTTCTCAGGACTTGCACTTCTGTTTCTTGGACATTCCGCGGCTTTTATGAGAAGGTAATAATCTGAAGTTCTCTTCCCTTAATAGTTATTAGCATATTTTGACTACTGTCCACCATGCTGCTAATATTTGCTATTAGGTGAGTTTCTGGAACCTGAATTATGTCGCCTTGTTAGTTAGGTGATTTGTGATGTTATATGGAAGGAGAAGGAGAGAGTATTTGAAGGATTAGCCTTTTTTATTGGTGCACCTATGAGGTCCCTGATTATATAGTGCTTTTGAATAGATTTGTTCTAAAAAGTTCTCTCTCTCTATATGTTAGTTACTTCTCCAATACGAAAGGCATATGACACAAATTGGAGAGCTTCAACTTCCTATTGCTCCTTCTCCTGTTGACAATGAGAACTCTGTTGACAATGAGAACTCATACGAAAGGCATATGACACAAATTGGAGAGGTAACACTGTGTTTACTTTGTTGTTATGTGTGTATGTTGTACACCTTTTGAATTGATATATGGGGAAGCCTATTACCCTAAGTATTTCGACTATGGTCTTTACTTCATCCAAACGTCGAATCAACTAATGTAGCCTTGTACTATATATATATATATGTATATATATATAAAAACAAATATGAACTATTTGAAGTAATTCTGCAGGGAAGTGGTTACCAAATTTCTGCATCAGGAAGGCCAGTAAGAGATTCCGCTGCTCGTTGTAGGCTAGGCTGGCAGGAGCAACACCTTCTTGATTATGGTGAGGTTGCTGAGCCAATTGTAAAGGTATGGTGAGGTCTTTGGGCGTTGATTTTATTAAGTTTGATCTTGTCTATTGCCATGTACAAGTAATTTTGGTGTTTTTCATCTTTTTAGGATGGGAGTGCCTACAATACACCAAAGCGTGCAAAGAGTCGAAAAACTAGTGGTAAGATTTCTCCCAATATAAAGTCTGGCAATTCCAAAACTTTGGCCTTTCGTGTTTGTTAGTTAACACTGTAACTATATAAGGATCATCATTCGAGAACTTAAGTTTTTGCTGAATTCATACTCTTATCAAAGAGGAGTACTGACTGCAGCAGAACTTCTTGTTGTATTCAGGCTCTCTTAAGCACCAGGGAAAAAAAGAAGCGGATCAGCAAACGAAAGCTGCAGAAACAGAAACTTTTAAGCCGTAAGTCGTACTTTATCTTGATCCTTTCTTCTAACGTTTTTATCTCTCAAGTCAACCTTAAGTTATTTTGATGAAATCTAGAATGTTTCATTACAAATGCTAGTGGCACTTCATTTATCTCGTATACCGACAGTTTTATCACCCAAAAGAAAAATTGTACTAGGAACTTCAGTAGTATTTCTCTGTTTTTGGTTCCTCCGTTTCTGATCTAAAGATAAATTGCTTTCCATCTGTCAGGTTGGATGTCCAAGTTGTTGATGTTGGACCCCCCGCTGATTGGGTGAAAATCAATGTTCGTGAAACAGTAAGTTCCTTTCAGAAGTAAAAGAATTAAGAACCTCTAGATTATATATGCATTTTATTTCTCTCATGTGATTTGTAATGATTTTATGCAAACAGAATGATTCATTTGAGGTCTATGCGCTGGTGCCTGGGCTTTTACGGGAGGAGGTATAATACCAATCATGCCACTTGTTTCCATCAAGTGCATTCAATTTTGTTTTCGTCTTTTTACACTATCTCAAAGCTCTAAATAATCATAGGTACGGGTTCAATCTGATCCAGCTGGTCGCCTGGTCATTACTGGTCAGCCAAACCAACGTGACAATTTGTGGGGTGTTACTGCCTTCAAGAAGGTAAAGAGAAACTGTCATGCAGAAAACTTGATATTTCTCAAAATGGTTCTGAAAACTATATCGTTGTTACGTTTTGTTTATCACAACACTCTTAAGTTGGCTGACATGGTTTTGTTTTTCAGGTGGTCACCTTACCTGCTAGAATTGATCATCTTCGGACCAACGGTGATGTCACCCTTCATGGGTGTCTTCACGTTCATATGCCCTTTGCGCAGAAAGATCTCTGAGTCGACAAAGCAGGAGCATTTGTAGTTGGCCTACATTGTGAATGCTTGGCCATAGTTATTTACTTGTTGTTGATGATATAGCAAAGGAGGCATTACGGCTTCAGCTGCCCCATTAGAAACTTAAGATTGCTTTTCAAAGACGAATGAATATGTGATGAACATAGCTTGGAGTAGTATGTTGTTTTGATACTGAAACGTATCTGTCTTTTTAGCATTTGACAATTCTATTATAATCTCAAAATTATTGACAGACACATACATACTTTCAGAAACACCATTCGAGTGTTTGAACACAAACAAAATTATGCAGGTTTTGAAAGTTTATCCAAACAGGCTCTTGGTAGTAAGATACCTGAAGCTGAAGGTGGTGGAAGATGTTTATCAAAATATCAGTAACACCATCTTCTTTGTTGAAGACTCGTATAGCATCGGTAAGTAGCAAGCATGGAGTTTTTCTCCTTGCATTTGGTTTGACTGTTCGATTTGTCGGGGGGTCTCAACTCCCATCAGATCTCCCCATCCACCTCGCAAAATCTTTTCCTTAGTTAAGCCTAGCCTAGTGTTTCTTCTCAACATTAGAAAGATGATTGTTGGGGAGATTTGCTTGAGAAAGAAAGAAAAAAACTAGTATAGAGAAAGTTATGTTGGGAGCGTTACCCTAGGCCCTGCAATATACATAAGCTCTGAACGCCATTCGGATTTAGTCGGAGCTCCAATGGGGCAAGTGGATGGGAAACCCAAAAAAGAAAGAGAAACTAGCAAGAACAGAAATGCACTTTGTAGGTTAGCCTATACAATTATATCTGAATACGGGATGTTTCGTGTACTGAGTTGCCCTTTTGCGATATTGTATTTATTGCTTCACAAAGGAAGATGACAATAAAGCTCAAATAACCGATTTAAGGTCCTGAGTAGAGTACAAATATATAATCAAAACTTGAGCATCAAATTATTTGCACTAAGGTCATATTTTTATCAAAAAATCGATACAGTTTTGGTATATAACGATATATGCAAATACTAACTCTAACATTGATCAAGTTGCTAGTTCATACTTACAACTCCAGTTTTTTCTCGAGTCGTCATAATATACCTTAACCAGAACTTGAATCTGTGATATCGCGCTCTCAATTATGTTTACCATTCACCAAACGAGAAAAACCAGAAGCTCAAGCCAAAATTTGCGATATCGCGCTCTCTGTTCATGTCATCATATTAATCTGAAAGAAGAAACAGCCTGCACATTGCAAGAAACTTCAGACATTGATTCCAATCATGTGGAATAGACAATGAACATTTTCTTAAGAAATCGTGAAAACGTTCAACAGTTGAGATCAGTGCACTCAGGTTTTTCCGTCTTTCATCACTTAACATGGTGATCTAACTCAATCCGGGATACTAAACAGGCTTAGAAAGGAGATTGACGTGTATGTATAGGTAAACTGTGAAAATATATCCGTCAAGCTACACAACATTTTGCAAAAACTTGACAATTTCTGCTGAAGACAACTTCTAATTATACATATACAGAGTTAATATATATGAAATGTGATGCAACTTACTTCAACATATCACAGAAACTGTATAATATAATCACAGAAAGCTTCTTCTAGCTTGAGGTGTGTCCTTGATGACACTGTCTCGTGAGAGACAAATGAATGCATAGATTCATGTTTGGTTCGGGAAAGGATTATGGAATCCAGGATTCAAAATTACTCACAAGCTTAGAAAGAAAAGAAGAATCAGAACTGGATTAGGCCTCATATATGATATATATCTCGCGTGCAGGGGAAGAGGGGCAAATCCACCTCTTTCGCCTTCAATCCCGTTTCTCATATGTATAAGCACATATTTCTTTTTTCTTCTATATCTTTTTACAAAGCTGTCGAAGTTTACAATTCCTTATAACGAAAAAGAGAGTTCTTCCTAATCCACGAGGGAGGCTTTCTTTTGAGATACTATAGACATTTTTGTGATGCATATCTTCACTCAAAAAACTAGCACACACAAAACAAGAAGAAAATGAACTTAAACTTACCTTCTGTATTTTGGCACCATATTTCTCTGCCTCCTCGTCTACAAACTGCGAGATAAATCAAATCTTAATCAATTTTACAGTCTATCGTCTCTTCATCATCATCCTCTCGTAATGGAAAATTGAAAAGCCAAGTAAGTTTAATGCATGTATTTTTGCTTCGTTTAGCTGACCTGTCCAGTGAGAGTATACAGTCTGTTGTAAATCCCATTGTTTGCTATCCCAAGCACTGAAAATAGATGTCTGAGACTTTCACCGGGATTTTGGAGAGTGTACTCGATGTAATACAACCCTGATTAATAAGAGTGACAATTATTAAACGGCTTAAAAAATTAAACGTCCTCACATCATGTGCAAGTATAAACTCCTAAGCGTTGAAGCAAAGTTACAACTACTTCAGTGAGATAAAATCACTTAGTTTCTTAATGACAGAGACAGATGCAGGATTTTAAATTTACGTGTTCTAAATTCTAGGAATGAGAGCTTTTCTTCTTGACTCGTCGAAAATCATTTCATAAAAGCACTTTCTAATTGTGTAGGTACAATAGTATGCATTCATTTCATGGCTTTATAAACACACTGTTCGATTTATATGTAAACCTCAGATAACCATTGCATCGAGGCAAGTTTAGCAAGTGACTTTCGATAGTCTTATATACCTTTAGAAGCTTTGCTATCTATGAGTTTTGCTTTCACTCCCGGAGGCCTTTGCCAGCTTCTATCAAATCCGCTGACCTGTTAAAAATCATTGAGGGCCGAAGTAAGAACGTGAATTAAAATAAAAAAAAGAAGAAGGAACGGAGAGTTTCTTTCATAATAGGGATGGATTAAGACGCACCAGATTCTCAGCAAAAGCATCAACTTTCCCGAAAGATTCCAACTTGGTGAAATCAGCACCAAGGCTTGTGATTACTATGCTGACTGAAACAACATGATGATCGAGTTAATATACACAACAATGTAATAAAGCTCAAATGAATCGATCCATCACTAATGTCCAACTAATACCATTTGAGTTAGAAGCTTCTGGAGGATAGAAAGCTAAGAGTGACCTTACTCCATCACCTTCTCCCGCGCCTATTTGCCAATCTGCAAGTAATTCTTCATCTGTTAACATCATTTTCTTCTCATTCTCGTCGTGTTAGAGCAAATCTTTTTATTCCTTGACAGAGATGATCTCTTCTCAAGAACTATGGATTTAAAAGTTTTACGTCTCAATATCTAAGCCAAAAAGATCCTATATTTGTTCAAGAAAGGTGATTTTCCTTTTCTATCCAAGCCTTGGTAGACCGAGTTACTCGATAACTGTACTGATGGGAGGTAGTAGACACCCCGGAATTAGTCAAGTTGCCCAAAGTCACTACGGTTATCCAAAAAAAAAAGAAGAAAAGATCCAATTTTTGTTACTACATTTTACATACCAACTCTCAATTTTCTTACAGAATTAACAGTCACAGCTACTGTAAATCATAATATCCATACGCGCTCTTAGCACATGGTTTTATCGATACTTCCACTCAAGAAGAAAAAAACGGAATGTAAAAACCATACCACTAGGTATCATGATCTTAAACTTGTTGACATCATCTGAATAAACACGAAACTCCTCCGGGACATCTGAAATAACATCACTCTTTTTAGCAAGTAGACATTTTGAAGGATACTGAGCATGTCAAAGTCGAAAAATTAATCAACGTGTACCCTTCTCTGCCAATGCAATCGATGTAAAGGCGGACAGAGAAAATGCAACAGAGCCTGCCTGTAGCAGGAGCTCTCTTCTCTTGGTTAAGCATTCTCCTTTAACTTGCTCACTATCCAAATATTCGAGTTTTAGAATCAAATGAGGTAAACAAAGAAGAAATTCACAAATGTGCTCTGATAATCGATCTAGCTGATCGAAAATTGACAACAGTTCATGGTAACCGAACGAAATAAAACACACAAAAAGAAAAAAAAAGATAAGGATAATTTCGTCGTATGATCACAAAACTTTACTAACGATAACAACAAACACACAAATTTATCCTTAACACATCAAACTAACTGAATTTTTAGCTACCATAGTCTATAACACTAAAAACACAAATATATTGTCAATTAAAATTACTGAGTTTTATCCACTATATCAATAAAGTCACATATTTTTACCCTCTAATCACTATAATGAAAAAATTTAAAACAATTTGTGTATTATCAACAAAATTTATCTCGCGAAACACTAAGTGATTTCTTCTCATCTGCCCCAACTTTAACAGATAGAGTTACACCGTACCTGTGTTAGTGGGATTGAAGTGCATATTATCTTAGCATAAACAACACCATTATAAAATTAAAAAAAAATCAAGGTGACGATAAGCTGGCCTGAACAACACGACTATAAAACAAATATCACTTTACTACAACGTTGAGTAAAGTGGTAGCAATTATGCTTCATAATGCACGCAAGCAAACTCAGACACTACAATTATCAACAAAATAGTTGACTTTATTGTTGTATTGAGTAAAATTTAGCGACTTTATTGTTACATTGGGTAAAATTCGAATAAAAAAAAATTACCCTGTTCTTGAATCAGGCACAGTGTTGTTGCAGCAGAAAATAAGTGAGTTTCGATTTTTCTTGGGAACTAAACAAGCGAAAAATAAAATAAAATTAGTTGATATATGTAAAAATTTACTAAGATAAAGAAGTAAAAATTGAACCTTTAAGAAGATGAGAGGAAATTAAAGGGACACGTGGCAAGCGAAGAATAGCTTGATACTGGTACTGGTTCAAACATGGAGATGAAGATGAAGATGAAGATGAAGATGAAGATGAAAGAGTCGCCATTTCTGTTTTTATTTTTTTTGTTTTCTTTGAAGAAGCAGAGATATTGGTGTATCCAATTCACAGCCAACCAGTTTTCTGCTATTTTCATCAAATAGATACAGTTGGAAATTCCACTCTGGCAGTTAGTTTTTTTTTATAAAAAAAAAGTTATTATTGAAAAAGAGCACTAAAAAGTTGTGGTATCCTTTTATAACGGGAGATTATGAGTTCGAGTTTTATGTATGAAGTTGCTTTTATTTAATGTGGTATTTTGGAGCGCGAATAGTTTTATATTGGTCAGTGTTTATAGTGAGTACTGAACACTGGATGAAAAAGAGACAACAAAAGAAATAGGTATGAAACGATTTTTTCAATGAAAATATTATGTTTGTTGTGACGTTTTTTTGATTTTCCTCGAGACTTTTTATGATGTGTAAATAAATATTTCCTCCTTTCTATTTTACGTAAAGTAGTTTTATTCGGCACAGAGTTTTAAGAAAGAAATGAAAATTTTTAAAAAACTTGCAGTCTAAAATGAGAAATTTGTGTGGTGGTAAATCGTTTCATTAAGGATAAAATCGACGTTTTATAGTTAAATTGTTACTTAATATAGAATTGTGTCATTATTTTTGGACTGACTAAAAAGCAACGTAAGTCGCATAAATTGGGACACAGGGAGTACAAGATACGATTTAGTATCTCTTTGTTACGGACAATGGCGAGGCTAGGATTTTTGAATAGGGAATTTAAAATCTCAAGAAGTAAACACACGAAATAATCGAAGGAGATTTAATATCTACTACATATGCATAAAAAAAAATAACTGATCATATATAAATAGTACTATATTTTTCGCTAAAGAGAATTCAAATGAACCCCTAAATATATATTGGCTCCGCTTCCGATTATAATTTTTTACATTGGAAGTCTTTTCATTATATTTAAGAAGAGCTTCATGAGTCTAAATGATTTATCATATATTATTCCATCACCGAAAATATTAACACACATTACACATATAATATAAACATATTTATCAATTTTTTTTTTTTAAATACACTTCTACATTACCCATAAATTAAACATATTTATCTAAAGGTCAATCATATAATTTATTTGTTTCACAAATTTTAGTAAAATATTATTATATATTAGCTATACTTATTTTTATTCCATATTTTATTTATATAGTTATCAGTATTTTTTTAATAAAATAAATTATTATCAAATGACATCACTTGTCATAAGGTGTCTTATCCTAAATAAATAAAAATACAGATTTTTTATGACTAGACAAAATTTAAGAAATTGAAAAGAAATGAAGTCACGTGTTCATATTGATAAATTTGAGAAAAAAAAGGTCTTGGAATTAAATGCAATATATAATTATTATTAATTATAATTGTACTAGAACAATTTTTAGCCTTACCTTTTCTTACCTTCCTTTTTCCTTTTTCACCTTTATTTATTTTGTATTTTTATTTTCAAATTAAAAAACACAAATTATTTCTAAAAAAAAAAAAGTCATTTCTATTTCTCTTTTTTTTTTCTCTTCTCTAAACCCTAAATATATATTTTCTTTTTCTCTTCCATCTTGACAATTTCCAATTTACGGTAAGAAAATTCAGATTTCTTCTTATTTTCAATTGAATTTTCAGATTTATTTTATTTTTCGAAAAAAATAATTATTTTTTTAATTGTTTATGTGTTGATACTATTTTTCGACCTTTATTTAATTTTTTAATTTTTTTTTTTGCTTGATCTGTTAAAAATTTGGGGAAAATTCTGAATTTTTTTCTGGGTTTATAATTAAGCTTGATCAATTATGCAAAATTTTGTTCTGTTGATTTTCAGTTGAATTTCTAGGGTTAGGGTTTATACTGATGAACTTTTGCTAGGGTTTTAGCTAAGAAATCTGTAAATTTCGTTTTTTTTTCTGCTACAAAGAGTAATTTTGTAGATTTATAGAAGCCATTGGAGCTGAAAAAAATGTTTTTTTTTGGTTATGGTGTTCTTTCTCAGGTGAATTTGGGGGGAAAAATCGATGAAAAATGTCGGTAACTGAGGCAGGTAGTGGAGTAATGACGAGTAGAGATCATTTCAGTGTTGCCGGAGTTCAAAATTCTCCGTCGAATGTTCCGGCAACGACGCCGGTGGTTCAGAATATGCATTTGGGTTACAGAGATGAAAATACGGCTGTGTTTGCCCCGCCACCGTACCAGTCGGCTGAAGGTTCTGCCGGAGCTGGGACATCGATGTTGCAGAACTTGAACAATAATTCGTCGGAGCCGATGAAACGGAAGAGAGGGAGGCCTAGGAAATACGGTCCGGATGGGTCTATGGCATTGGGATTGAATCCGGCTGCTTCGCCGGTTGGTGGTGGTTCTCTTGGCGGTAGCTTGTCGCCCCGAGATCCGGGTAATTCTGCTGGTGCTCAGATGCATTCTGGAGGACCAGGTTCGCCAAATTCGTCGAAGAAAGGTAGAGGGAGACCTCCTGGATCCGGCAAAAAACAGCAAATGGACAATCTTGGTAAATTCTTATTTATATATAAGCATTTTTTCATGTGTAATATAGAATATTGAATGTTTATGCTTTTGCTTTCAATGTCTTGAATTGAGCATAGTTAGTTGTCATAGTATAATATTTATTTCAAAAGTACTTTCTCCCTCACTTAGACTTGTCGCGTTTCCTTTCTCGAGAGTCGAACAGTATGCACTTTGACAAGTATTTAATATGTTTTTTTCACTTATACTTGTCACGTTTCCTCAAGAGAGAGGTATGCACTTTGACCAACATTTTAATATACTTTTTTCATTATTTTTCTTTACGATCTTAGAGTTCGAGTCAACTTTCGCGGACTTCGATTAATTTCACGAGATACCTATCACCTCCCAGTAACATGTACCATGTAACCGTATCCATCAAAACTAGGATAGATGGGAAGAATTAACTAGTGTTTTTCTCATCGAACTTGGAGCGTCATGACTCTCTGTCAATCATTTCATTGACCACTAGACCACACTCTTGAGTGCTTTTTATTATTATATTAATATTTGAGATAGAATACAACTTATAGTATTTTTTGTATAGTTTTCAAATATCTAAATTTAATTAAATTAATCTAATCCAATTTAACTTCTTAGTTTATAAGAGAATAAAGAAAGATGGGATTTGGATCAATGAATCTACATAGACTGACTTCAGAATCTTACAGAGGAAGTAGTACTTATATCATATTCTGTATATTGTTTATTAAATATGTTTCTTTTCTTTATTTTTTCTTCCGCCTTTTCACCTTTTGGCAAATATTCAAGACAGATGCTGATTTTCCAATCCTTCTCCTCCATTTTCCTCTTTTTTGGCGGGTGGGTGGGAGGTTGTGAACATGTTATACTTGCCCTGTATAGTAAAATCCCACATTATCCTGCGTTTTTTTTTATTCAGCATCATTAATAGAACTTCTCAACGTCATTTTCTGATTGCAGGATCAACAGGATTTGGATTCACACCACATATTATCGCTGTGAAACCAGGAGAGGTAACCTCTTTATCCTTTGTATTTCCTTTGAATGCTAAATAGATTTTAAAAAATTGACTGGAAGAACATTTTATTTCTTATGAAACTTGGGAATAGCCAGCAAATATTCTAATGTCTCGAATTACGACTATTCCGTATTAGTTTTACTGTCAATATTTCAGTTTCACTGTCATGACATCTGAGAATTTGAATTAGGAGAAGTTAGAAGCTGGTTAAGCCCTTTCACCCATTTTTACTTGTCCAATTGCCTTGAAACTTCTCCTCTTAGCACCCAACCAATATACCGCTATTCTTTTCTAAACCCGGATCTAAGTGTCTACACGTGTTTAATGTTGAAACTTGGAATTCCAGTGTTGCCTTTGGATTCTTGTACTTTCTTGGACACCAGTGATAGTTTTCGAGATATCTAATCTTTACTATCTGATTTTCAGGATGTGGCATATAAAATAATGTCGTTTTCTCAGAATGGTCCAAGGGCTGTGTGCATCTTATCTGCCAGTGGTGCAATATCATATGTGACTCTTAAACAAACTGCCACGTCCGGTGGAACGGCAACATATGAGGTTTTACTTCTTAATATATGTTACATGTTTTAGCATATCACATTCCATCTCACATACATCAGCTCATTATAGTTTTTCAAAAAAAATAATCCAATTAATTGATGTCTTTTTGTAGTATTTCTGCATTACTTTTATTTATTTTTATATTCATTAGCACTCTTTTTTCACTAAAGCCCACACATTGATGTACTTTGCTCTTAAAGCCTCAATTTATTGTTGTAATTTAATTAGTCTCTTATTTACTTCATAATATTACTTCCAGGGGCATCTCACTTGGATGTGAGGGAAATTTTTTATCATTTTTCCATTCTACTTGAGAGATGTTTTTTTTTTTACTATTATTTCTAAACTCCACATGCAGTTCATATGCATTTTAATCTTATTCTTGATTTCAACTTCATTCTGCGCCTGAAATTAGTTGATCGTCTCTTCTAGAACTCACTGATCTGCAAATAAAAATCTGTTCTTCTGCATCGCTCTTTTCGTATTGTCTATTATTTCGTGCTTGACCTTTTCCTCCTGTAGGGACGGTTTGAGATTTTGTCTCTCTCTGGTTCATTTATGCTGTCTGACATTGGTGGTCAACAAAGCAGAACAGGTGGATTAAGTGTATCATTAGCTGGATCTGATGGACGGATTTTAGGCGGTTGTGTGGCGGGTGTTCTAACAGCCGCATCACCAGTCCAGGTTTGCCTTCTCATATTACATCCGATTCTTGAAAATGCTCGAGTATTTTGTTTGTCAAGTCCAAAATGGAAGATTGGAATTAGCAGTATCCGCCTTTCCTGGATTTAGTGTTAAATGGTAAATAATGAAGCTGGTATTGGTATATATACGAGACAAGCAATCCGTTTATTATTAAGTTTTTGTTTTGGCACTCTGATTACTTCTGTACCTCTTTCCTTTGGATGAGACAATTCTGGCTTTATGAAAGCATGCAGCATGCATCGTTCAGAATAAAGAACGAAAGGATGTGTGTGCGTCATCCCTTTTTTGTGAAGGGTGTAGGGCAGGGGACTTAAAAAAGAAGTACAATCATATCTTGTCATTAGTTATCTTTGACCTTTTGAGGTGTGTGAGGTTTACTATATTAAAAAGTTAACTGATAAAGAAATTAAAGAAGAAGAAGAAGAAGAAGAAAGCCGCACTCAAAGGTATGAGGACCTACTAATAATAACAGAGGTCAATGGCTTGGCACTTGTGCTCGCACTACCATTTATCGCATATGTTAAATGTTAAAAGAGTAAACCTGGTACAGATTTTGTTAGCATATAGCAGGCACTAATAAACGGCTTCTCTTCCAGGTTATCGTAGGTAGCTTCATTGCAGATGGTCGGAAAGAGCCAAAAACATCAAACCATTTTGAGGTTTTACCTGCTCCGTTGAATGCCAATCTTGGTGTTGGTGGTGGTTTGACAGGGGCCAATAGCCCACCATCACGAGGCACTTATAGTGAATCATCTGGTGGACCAGGCAGCCCCATAAATCAGAGGGGTCCAGTATGCACCAACGATAACCTGCAAGGAATCTCAAGCATGCCTTGGAAATGAGTTATTAACGCTCTCTTTTCTGACCAATTGAACTCCGTGTCATCGACTAGTTCACTGAAGAAGACTCCAAGTGAGGATTGTTGTAATTTTAATCGGTGTAATCGTAGTTGTGCAGAAATAAGGTTCACAGACACTTCTTACCTCAAGTTCAAGAACTGGTGAGAAACGTCGATTTGCTGATGCGTAGTTGTTCTGCATTTTCTGTCTTGTTGATTTAATTTCTTGTATTTCATCAGTCATAGGACATGGTTTGGCTTTTTTTGTTCTATCTAGTAATCACTTACTCATATTAGCCATCTTCCAACTTTAGAGTGTATTTTATTGCAATTCTGTGATCTAGAATAATATCAATTATGTACTTTTTATGTGGTGGTTAATTCATCATTTGGGAAGGGAATTGTTTTCCCATTGTCTTAGATATAATTCTCACAAACCAGGTTGTTCGGATCCTTTGAAAATAATTAACTTACGGAGAATCCGATGTACATTTGGAAACATTTTAAAGGATCTGAGTAACATAACAAATACGGAGTTAGGAATCAAACTTTATTAAATTTGAAATAGTATTTGGGGAGGCCATGCATGTCAGATCATTCAAAAATGTTGTTTTACTCGTGGTAAATGGGAGTACCATTATGTTACGACTATTTATGTCAATCAGGTCTATCTCAGCCTCAAGAGCTAGTTCAATTAATTGAGGATTGCCCCAACATTATACGGAATCCAAAAATTCTAATCAATCATTGATGCGTTACATTTCTTCTCAAACACCCCCGCTCATGTCTAAACCTCTTTCTCTGAAGCATGAGATACACCTAAATACTTGTTTTTTTTTTCAGCAAATACAATTCGAGATTTGCCTATATGTGTCCTCGATACACGTATTTATTGTGATTCACGTGTATCTATTTCAAATACATGCCCCATGGGGATGGTTTACAGGGTTCATAACTACTCCTTTTACTACAGGACGCTTACCTAGCCAATGCTTAGATTTGGCTCTACCCAAACTTTTCTAGTTCACCTACTCAGATGCTTTCAGCAGTTATCCGCTCTACCCAACGTTTACCGTGGCACGATAACTGGTACACCCAGAGGTGCGTCCTTCCCGGTCCTCTCGTACTAGGGAAAGGTCCTCTCAATGCTCTAACTTTTGGGCAGCTGTTCACCGTTGGATCTCGCCAATACAGCCCCCTATAGTTTTCGTTACCGAGATATCTTTTTTTTTCATTCTTATGTTTCGAATTGCAACTATTCCATATAAGTTTTGTGATAATATATTCATGTCAGAGGCGTATCCAGGATTTTGAGATGATGGATCCACTATAATATAAAGGTTGATTTATGATATAAATTTTATCGGTTCGACATTTAGGTTTTTACTACTAAAAACCGTTAAAATTTTAAAATTATAGGTCTAAAATTAATTCTTATATACCAATTACCACTTAGAGAAGTATTATCTAATTTAGAAAGAAAAATAAAACAAGATAAACATAAAACTCAACTCTCTAACCTCGCAGAGGTGCACCCAATCATAATCGCATTATGTGATACTTGAAGTGTGGGTTCGCGCATCTATATTTCAATATTTTTTAAAAAATTATAACACTACTATATATGATTTCCATAGAAAACCTCAGATAAACCTCTGATTCATGCAACATATTTAAGATCCATGATTCGAAAAGCGTTTGGGGTAGTAATACATACATTTTTAGTTTAACGTCATGTGATTCATTCAGAAATGATGTTCGTGTCTTGTCAAAATAAGACATATAAAATGAAACCGGGGGAATGTAGTATAGAATTTCTTTGAATTATACATTGGATAGTTCCTTAACAAAATACAACATAATGCTCAAAACAACAAATGAAACAACATTCAACAAATAGAAGGAAAAAAAAAATTACAAATATTTTTTTTTTTCACTTATTTTTGGTAGGGAAAGAAGCCATTTTGTTGATTCCACAAAGACCTGAGGCTTTACCAGTATTTCTCTTCATCTTAATATAACCTTTTTCTCCCCATTTTGCCCCCCAAGAATTCTTCACAATTATGTAATCCAACCCTTTTGTGGATCCATATCCAACTGCTGCCACTCCATGATCCAATGCTGTTCCACAATGTCCATCAAACACACCCTACACTCGTAATTCCAGGGTTTACTCAGTATATCGACTAGAAAAAGTAAACAGTAAATCTGACTGATTATTTTATTTAAAAGATTGTTTTCATAGTATACATCATGTATTACAACCAAAATCTTAAAAGATTCTATTTCTAGTTAAGGGTATATATGTTTTGATACGATGAAAGTCATTTTTTCTAGAAAATCACTTGTTTACACAAAAATATATTCCGATACTTAGTCGGAGAGTTAGAGATAATTGTAAAGGAAAATGACTTCCCACAAATAGTAAGGGAATTAAGTAACTTTTCATTCTTTTGGTATGACAATCAAACATCCAAAAACAACGACTTATTTTCTAAGAAAACATTTTTCGTCACGACAAACGGAACACACAAAAAGAGAGAGTCAAAAGGAAGTATTACCCCTTTGTAGAATTGGAAATCTCTACCAGAAGCCTCAATGGCAACACTCAAAGGTTGGTTAGCAAGAGCTTTCAACAAACTTTGTTCATCATTGACAGGTACATCATGGTAACCATCTATTGTCACCACTTCACTTTCATCCTGAAAAAAAAAACACATTTCAATTTTAAGAATTTTAGTATTGGTATCGGATCCTTCAAAAATATATAACTTCTGAAGAATCTAAACTATATAAAAAATTATCTTTAGCGACAATTAATTAACTGCTAAAAACATATTTTTAACGAAATTTAGCACTCCCAAAGCCTATAGTGATACTGTATCCAATGACAACTAACTAGTGTCAGTAAATGATTTATCACTCTTTGTTAATGTGTATATTTGTTGCCACCAAAAGTTGTTTTTGTTGTAGTGGTTGTTTGGCCGACACTCATCTGACAACATTTTAAAGGATTTGAGTAACATATAGCTAGAGGCAGATCCAGGAATTGAACTTCATGAGCGTCCAAGATTGAAATACTCATAGAAGCTATGTACGTTTGCTTAGATCCTCCAAAAATGTCGTTCTACTCGTGTTAGAAGAATATCCTTTATAAAATGAACTACTTTCGGAGGATCTAAGGATCCAAGCAAAGCTATAATATTAGGTACAAGTTCAATAGAACTCATAAACTTAAAATTATGACTCCGACTCTACGAGTAACATATCTAGGAATATTGACTTACTCTTTTTTCATCACAAGTGCCTTCTTCCATGAGATATGGATAGTCATCCTCTTTGTGAAGACCACCTTGTGAAACAATAAATTGAAAAGCATAATCCATAAGGCCACCATTGCAACCACTATTGTATTTTGTATCACAATCAATCAACTCTTGTTCAGACAAAGATGTCAAATTCCCTGTTCTTATTTGGTTTATTCCCTCTACCGCCGCTACCGTCGAAAACGCCCAACAACTACCTGCAAAACTCAACATATTTTGTTCGATAAGAGCATGATACATGACCTTTTAAAGCTGAAAATGAAGTTTTTACGGGTAAATATAGCTCTAAACTATGATTGTAAAGGTATATTAGTATAACATATGACTAATATAGTTTATTTTTTCGATAGTAGAGGGACAAATATGACTTTTTCCCTAAATATAAATATGAAAATAAGGATTAGTAAGTGTTTGGATTTATTGAATATGAAACTAAGAAAAAAAATAAACATGTTTTTCCAATGTTGCTTGGACCTTACAAAAATATTATCGCATCCATGTCGATCATATCTCCAAAAATATATTGGTTTCGGAGGATCTGCATACACCTGAAGATATTTTTAAAGAGTTCGATGCAATATAGAAATCTATAAATTTTGAAATAAAGGATTAATTGAAGTGTTCAGTAAAAAAACGTTGTCTAAACGTTTTTTTGCTGAAATGACTAAAATACCCTTAAAATCTATGAATTTGAAAATAAAGGATTAATTGAAGTGGTTGGTAAAGAAAAAAAAAAGTGTCTCAACACTTCGTTTTGTTAAAATGACTAAAAATACCCCTAAAATCTATGAATTTGAAAATGAAGGATTAATTGAAGTGTTTGGTAAAAAGAAAAGGCCAATGAACGTTTTTATGTTAAAATGACTGAAATACCCTTTAAAGTTGTTAACACTAAAAATGAGTCCCTTATAATAATTAACTTACCACATGAGCCTTGATTTTTGACATCAGTCACAGCACCTTTTTTTCTCCAATCAACAGACTTAGGCAAATCCACAAAATCACTATAAATAAATTCATCATTTGATCTCCTTTCATTTTGAACTTTGAGTCCTAAATACATTTTCTTGAATTCATCATGGCTTAAATCTGCAAAATCATTCAAACCAAGCGAATAATTACTAACAATATTGTTCCTCTCATTAATGTGTTTCAAATTATCTCTAAAAATCTCAAATCTATGCAATTTCTCTTCAATGCTCTTGTAAATCTTGTTGTGTCTCTCCATCCACGTCTCGAAGAGATTGATGATGTTATCGATGCTATTCAAGTCATCGGGGGAATATCCCACGATGGAGAAGTCACGCGCAAATGTTGCGCGTGACATGATGAGAGAAAGTAATAAAATGGGAAATAGGATAAGAAATGAGAATTTGGAAGCCATTTTTATATTTGTTTTGTAGTAATATAGAGAGGTGTTGAGATGAATGAAGAAATAGAGGGGAATTAATGAGTTTATATAAGTTGTAAATTTTTTGATAAATTTGCTTTAAAGCTAAGTTTTGTGCAAAAATATTAATTGTATATGCTTTATAGTATATGGAGTAGTAGTAATAGGAGACTTAAAGCATGGTGCTTTATTTTTATTTTTTTGTTGGCTTTGAATTAAAGATTCAACTTCTCATTAAATATGTGATTTTATGCTATAATATTATGATGATAAATGTGTGATTTGGACTGAATTATAATAAGACGAGATAAAATGGAATGTGTTAATAAATGAATTGTCAATTTTGTTCTAAAGTTATTTGAGCTGAAATGAACTGAATAATGAGACTTATTCCAATATGATCAATTTTTCCAAATTTTAATTTTTTTTTATAATATGTTTTAGTTACCAAACAAATCTAATTTAAAAAATATATTTTTCTTTATTGTAATGATATTTTGTTATATAACATATCAAACAAAAAAAAATTACATAAATACTTCTCATTGATCAGTTTAGATTATATACTTAGCTAAGTCAATCGAATTTTTAAATAGACTTAATTTGAGCGGAAAATCAAGACATGTTGAGTTTATAAATGGACAGATTAATGATCCGCCAAAACTTAGAA